TGGCCTGGGAGGTCATAGGTCCTGGGGGGGGACCCTACTACTGTCGTTTTGCTAATTGGACATGTTGTCAAACTGTCTTCTAAATATTTATGTTTATACCCATGGATTAGTGCTGCTCAAAGCCTTGGCCAGAGAAGCTTCTGTTCATAGTGGGCCACAGTTAATGCAGAAACTCACAAGTGGTCAAAGTGCTGAGAATGGGTGCTCAGTCCTAAATGGGACTGGGACATCTCTATCACCCCCTCTAAGGCTCGGGGAAGACTGAGAAAAGAGGGCTGGAGAGAGTGTGAAAGGCAGAGGATGGGAAGGAGTGTGGTGAAGCACTGTCTTCTGGACAGGGCACAGCTGTTGATCTGGAAGCAGCAGTGATTACCTGCATAAAACTCGGCCCATCAACATTCCATCATGACTGGGGAAGAAGCTGGAGGTTGAGGTAGGGGGTGTCACATTCCTTAGAGGTGCAGCCACTGGTAAATTACCCTTGCTTAGGGGCTGGAGAGATGGCTCAGCTGTTAAGAACACCGGCTGTTCTTGCTGAAGACCCAGGTTCGAATCCCAGCACCCACCTGGCAGCTAACAACTGTCCGTAACTCCAGTTCCAGGGGATCCAACAGCCTCTTCTGTCCTCTGTGGGCATTGCACAGCATGGGTGCACTTGCCTACATGCAGGCAATACATGCATACATATAAAAAAAAAAGTTACCCTTGCTTAATAAATAACCCCTACCCATACTCATGGGGGAAACTTTAATTAAATGCAGTGGGACACACACACACACACACACACACACACACACACAGAGCAAGAGAGCAAGAGCGAGAGTGAAAGCGAGAGAGAGAGAGAGAGAGAGAGAGAGAGAGAGAGAAGCACATGCTTATAATCACAGTGCTGGGGAGGTAGAGATAGGCAGATCTCTGGGCTTCACTGCCTAACCAACATAGCCTGATTGGTGAACCCTAGGTCCTAGTGAGAGACCCTGACCCAAAAAAACAAAGTGAATGGCTCCTAAGAAACACCAGAAGTTGACCTCTGGTCTCTACACACACAAGTACACATACACACATGTTGGGGACCCCTGCTGTGTAAGGTAGCAGTCTCTCCATGTCCGGATAGCCCACGGGGCTCGGAGTTCATATGCAGAGACTCCTTTTATCAGCAGGGCACATTCCTACTCTCTTCCTGACTCACCTTTTGAAGTGGCCGCCACAGATGCCCTACCAAAAACATGGCCTCTGGCATAGGAACTGCCAGGTTTTCCTGTGTGATAATCAGACAATGTCTGGCAGCCTGGCAGGAGCCCACCACCACATGTAAATGAGGCATCCTAAAAGCACCTATCCATTAAGGCTTTTGCCACTGCCCCCACAGTATAAATATCCCTGGTTTCCCCTAATTAATCGGAGCTGAATCACTAAGACCTGGAGCCGAGTTGAGTCACTGAATAAAGGAGCGGTACTGAGCTGAGTTCTGTGTCTTACTGCCTACGATCCAGTCTCTCCGGAGAGGGCTGTCTCTTCGTAAACCACGACTCACGGAGACCCTGCTTTCGCTGTTTCTCACACCTCCCCTCGGGACCTGGTGGCCAACGGGTCTCGAATTTAGAGGGAGTGCACGGTGGAAATTGAAACGGAACCTACCGGACAGCTGACAGCGGTCCTAGAGCCGCCAACTCCGTAGCAGAGACCCTCAGCAACGCGGTGCGTGAAACCCGTGCACCCCAGCGGTGGAGAGCCAGGGACCCAAACAGCAGACACGGCCCGTGGGACCCACCGCACTCCAGTGACGTGTGGGAGACCGGCACCACACCCAGCAGCTGGTGCTCCCCGAGATCCCCACACACGCCCATACACACACACACACACACACACACACACACACACACACACACACACACACGCACACTCAGTTTACAAGGCTGGGTGTGGTAATACATACCTAAAATCCCAGCATTTGAAAAGTAGAGGCAGAAAAATGTGAAGGGCAGCTTGGGATACCTAATGGGACCCTGTCTCAAAAGAAAAAAGTCACTTTGCAAACACATGAAATGATTAAAATGAAAAGGACTAACAAAATGAGAATTAAGAAGGATCTGGAGGAACGTGTATTAAATGAGGAAAATGTAGGGTGTCAGGCTTGCATGACTTTAACCCACTGAGCCATCTCTCCAACCCTGCATTAGAATTTTTTTCATAATTACTTATGGGTAAAAAGAAAATCTATTTGGCTAGGCATAGTGGTACAATCTTGTAGTTACAGCACTAGGAAGGTGAAAGCAGAAAGATCAGGAGTTCAATGCCAACCTCAGCTACTCAGTGAATTTGAGGCCAGCCAGGGCTACAGGAGACTATCCCCCAAAAAGAAAAGAGTTGGTAAAACGGCTCAGTGTGTAAAGGTGCTTGCTGCCAGTCTGAAGACCTGAGTTTGAACCCCAGGAGCCACATGGTGGAAGGAGAGAACCAACACCTGCAGTTTGTCCTCTGACCGCCACACTTACACTGTAGCAGGCACACACACACTAACGCACAAATAAAAATAAATAAATAATAGGGCTTTGCTATGCTTCCTTGGGGCTTTGGACTTTGGTGGTCTAGTGGTCTTCCTACCTCAGGTTCCTACCTGGCTGGGTTTATAGATATTCACCACTATGACTAGCTTTTTATGTTTTGTTTGGTTCTTGGTTTGGTTTGGTTTTTTGGTGCTAAGGATTAAATCCAACACCTATGTATGCTAACTAAGCCTATGAATTACACCTCTAGACCTCTCCTGTTAATTTGGGGGGGGGGCTCTTTTTTTGAGACAGGGTCTCCCTGTAGCTCCAGCTGGCGTGGTACTTGCTATGTAGACCAGGCTGGCCTCGAACTTGTAGAGCACTCTGCAGAGTGCTGGAACTAAAGGCATGCGCCACCACACCAGGCCTACCCTCCTAAATTTTAAAATGTGTTTTCAATTATCAAAACTAGGGCAGGAGTGTGGTGGACATACCTGTAATCCCAGCACTTGGGAGGCTGAGGCAAGAGGACTGTGTGTTCCAGGACAGTCTGGGCTGCATAGTAAGAAATCAGGACAGATCCATGGTATAACACACAAATAGTGTCCTTGAAATAGACATTATAATATTTAAATCCACAACATTTTAATTTTATTTGTTAAATGTTTGCAGAAAGCTTACTATGAACCAATCACTGTTTTAGCTTCTTTATAAATATTAACTCACTTTAAACTATTATAGTTCTGTGTTATCCTTGGTAGACATGTTCCTCCAAAAGTCCTATGGATACCTATTCTAGTTTTCTGTCTGTTGCTGTCAGAGAACACTGACTAAAACCAACTTAGATAAGAAAGGGCTTATTTTGTTTTACACTTCAAAGGTGCAGTCCATCTTTAAAGTACTTCAGACAGGTACTCAAGGCAGGAACCTGGAGACAGGAACTGAAGCACAGACCAGATTGTGGAGGAATGCTGCTTACCGGCTTACCTTACTGGCTTGCTGTGCTCAGCCCACTTTAAAAAAAAAATTGTGGGCTGGAGAGATGGCTCAGTGGTTAAGAACACTGGCTGCTCTTGCAGAGGACCTGGTTCGATTCCTAGCACCCACATGACAGCTACAAACCATCCTTAACTCCAGTTCCAGGGGAATCTGAAGCCCTCTTCTGACCTCTGTGGCATTGCATGACATGGGTGCACTCACATACATGCAGGCAATACACTCATACATATAAAGAACAAAATTTTTTTCTTTTTTTTTTTCTTTTTTTTGTCTTTTTGAGACAGGATCTCCCTGTAGCCCCAGCTGTCCTAGAACTCACTATGTAGACCAGGCTGGCCTTGAACTCACAGAGATCTGCCTGCCTCTGCCTCCTGAGTGCTGGGATTAAAGGCATGTGCCACCACGCCTGTGTAAAAATTGTTATTTTTATGAGTGTTTGTCTGCATGCATGTATGTGCACCATGTGCATGCAGTGCCCATAGAGGCAAGAAGAGGGCATCAGATCTTCTGGGACTGGAGTTACAGAGGGTTGTTAGCCACCATGTGGGTGCTGGGAATTGAACCTGGATTGTCTGCAAGAGCAGCCAGTATTCTTAACCACTGAGCCATCTCTCTAGCCCCCTTAGCCTGCTGTCTTATACAACCCAGGATCTGCCTAGGGGTGGCACCACCTCAGTGGCCTGGGCCCTCTCACATCACTCAACAATCAATAAAATGCCTCACAGACACTTGTACAGGCCAGTCTAATAGAAGAAATTGCCCAGTACCTCTTCCCAGGTGTGTCAAGTTGACAACTGAAGCCAACCAGGCCAGTACATGAGATAAATGGTTCTGAACATCATATATGTCAGTGCTTCTTCTGTACATACATATCTATGATAAAGTTTATAAATTAGGCACACTAATAGATTAACACCACTAAGAATAATATTGAATAATTATATACTGTAGTACAAATAAGGGGACTGTGAGCTCTACCTCTCAAAATATCTTATATTGACCACAGTTGGCAATAGACAACTAAAACCTCAAAAATCAAAAATCTATGTGGGGTGCAGTGCATATGCCTGTAATCCTAGCAGGGACTATAAGGTAAAGAAGAGGGGAGGGGAGAGGGGAGGGGAGAGGGAAGAGGGGAAAGGGGAGGGGAGGGGAATGGTGGTGCATGCCTTTAAAACTAGTACTTGGGAGGAAGAGACAGGCAGATCTCTCTGAGATCAAAACCAATCTACATATCAAATTCCAGTCCAGCTGGGGCTTCAGGGAGACCCTGTCTGAAAAAGCCCGGCATGGTGGTGTACGCCTTTAATCCCCGCACTCAGGAGGCAGAGGAAAGTCTGGTCTACATAGTGACTTTCTAGCCAGCTGGGGCTCTAGGGAAACCCTGTCTCAAAAATACCCAAAAAAGGCTCCTGGCTCTGCACAGGCACAGGTCGTAGGTGGCGGATCAGCTGACCCGAGGGTCTCCCGCTGATTTAAGCGGGTGGCAAGGGCGGGGGATCCCAGCAAGCCATGGTGAGTCAGTCGCAGGGGATCCAGCAGCTGCTGCAGGGCGAGAAACGCAGGGCTGAAAAAGGTGTCCGAGGCCCACAAGGGAAAGAACCGGAGGCTGAAGCAGACCAAAGAAGCAGCCCAGGCTGAGATTGAACGGTACCGCCGGCAGAGGGAGAAAGAGTTCAAGGCCAAGGAAGCTGCGGCACTGAGGTCCCACGGAGCTGTAGCAGTGAAGTGGAGAAGGCGGCCCAGAAGATGACCATCCTCCAGACCTACTTCCAGCAGAACGGGGATGAAGTCCTCGATAACCTCTTGGCCTTTGTGTGTGACATCCAGCCAGAAATCCATGAAAACTACCGCATAAATGGACAGAAGGCTGATGGCCCTGCTCTGAGCTTGGCATTGGAGTCCCTCAAGGAATAGGAAACCTCCAGGAAGCCTGAGCTCTGTACTGAGGAAAGGCTTTGTTAAATTATTCCTCTACCTTGTAGTCCTTCCTGTCACTTTGGCAAACCCAGCTTTTTGTACAGACTTAGTACTTACCTAAAGTTTCATCTTTTACTTTGTTGTCTTTAATGAGTATATGCTATTTTCCTATATGTTCGTGCACACAACGGGTATCAATGTTAACTTTTAATTTAGTTTAAAAAAAAAAACTCTTTGAAGAAAGCAAGGGATTATATTGTTCCCTTACACTGTTGCACCCCGATCCTGTGACCCCCCAATGACCACCAAGGAGTCCGGAGAGCATGCAAAAGCAAAGAGGCTTTATTTGGGCTTAAGCTCGGGCCCTCAGATTTCACCTATGCAGCGGATCTGTACTGAGATTGTGATCTGTAGGGTGGGATAGGTTTTTTTAGGGAAGCCCACGGGCGCCAAGCATCCTTTAAAATGATTGGATGGTCCTATGCTCTGAGTGTGGGGAGGATTCTTATTGATAGGGGCTGCCTTTAGGGTATTTGAATGTGCTGACTGTTATCTGTGGGGCCAGAAGTTTCTGTTTTTAACCTTATAGGCTGCTATATGCCCGGGCTTGCTTGATCTATAGCTTTCCGGGATGGGGGTGGTAGCTGAAGACTACAACATGCCTGGGCTTGCCTAAAACAGCTAATCAAAATGGAGTTAGTGCCGTCTTAGGCCAAGCAGATTACAGAAGCAGAAAGAAGCGGTAGGACGAGTCAGAGTCTCACATTTCCCCCTCTCCTAGTAACTAGGGATGACCCAATCATGGGTCTGGATCGTGATCTGTAATGAGGGGGTCTGTGGGCTGATAATGGGACCTCAGGACCATGAGTTGTCCTGCATTCACCTGCTCTCTAACAAAGGCTGGTTGATAATACATGGCCTAACAGTTAACACTAATAGGAGGAGGATTTTTGGGCCCAGCCAAGGCTGAAAGTAGAGTGGTAAGCCAGGGAGACCAATTGAACAGTTGTTCATACCAATTTTATGGCTTTGTAGGTTGGTATCTGGAGAGGAGATCCTGGCAGAGGAGTTTGAGGGTTTTTACATTTTCTTCAACAATACTCATTGACAAAGAAGCAGCAATTTCCCCCAAAATCATGCAAGTTCCCCCCCGTTCAGCCGTGATTAGGTCCAGAGCTCGCCTGTTCTGAAGCACCACTCCTGCAAGTGAATTCGTTTGTCGTTGGAGGGACTCAAGGCTGTTGGTTGTGGATGCGATTGCCTGGTCTAACTTGTCCTGGAAGTCCCCTGCCAGATGATTGGTTTGAATGATAGCCACTGGTGCCTACTGAGAGGGCGAGTCCCAGACCCACTAACAGGAATGAAGGTTTCTCTCTGCAATCGGGCGTGGAGGAGAAGAGCAGCCTCTTCCTCCTTGAACAAGTACACCTGGGGGGTGATGATTACTGGAACACGAAAGGCAGGCTGAGAGGAATTAACGCAGGTCAAAATGTCTCCCCCCACACCAGAGAAAAAGGGGAAGGCTGACACACGCAGTTCCAGAAAGAGTCACATTAGCGAGGTACTTGTAATGGGCAGGAATGACTGCACCAGAAATGCAAAGTGGGTAGTTGTTGCAGTCTCCCTGCAGGTTCAGCCTAGGGGAGACTCAGGGTCCTGGCCAGGAGAGGGTGAGCAGCATGGAATCAACACACTGACACAGGAAGTCAGGTGGAAGCAGGCACTAGGCGAGATGCTGCAGACTCATTTATTGCAGATATGGGACTGCCTTATATACCCCTCTTCCAATGTCCCATTGGCCCCAGTAGGCCTTCTCAGGTCATGTCTGATCCTCATTGTTCTCTATGTTGAGCTATCTTGTGTCAGCCATCTCTATGTCCTTTGGCAGAAAACAGGCTGGACTCAACCGGATGTTTTTGGTGCATTTGCAGTGGGCATGCGCTGGTTGTTCAGCCCGCACTTCCTCCTACAGGTAGTCAGGTGATTGTTCAAATGGGAATGCCTGCCAAATGGGTGTCAGAGGAACTCTTTCCTGGAGTCTTAGGGTGGCATTAACTGGTACTGCAGTCAGCAAGGGTCTATTGCTAGACGCAAAAAGAAAGCAATTAGAGGCATTGGGGTGGTTGGTGAAGGATACAAAGTCCACCACATATTGTATATATTGATTCCAGGACATGGTTAATTTTATCTGCTCCTCCATTTGCTTTTCCTGTACAATAATGGTATGATGGGTCAGTATAGGCTGAGCTGCCAGCACAAGCTGGCGGGAAATGTGGAAATCAGTGGTGGAGTAGCTGGTAAATCCCCCTGGGTAGATCTTTCCTACTACCCCAGTACAGCAGTGTTCATCCCAGGGATCTGCAACATATATTCAGGAATAAGGTTGGCCGTTTTCCAGTAGGAATATGGACCTCTCTTTCCCTGTAATCCTTATTTGTCCCCAGGTTAGGCTTGTCTCTAGCTTGCAGGAGAAGTAGTGGCACCCTCCATAGAGGGTGCTGTCTTTTAAACATGATGAGTCTGTCTGCCAATAAGAAAAGCAGACATATTCATCATTTGTGTGGCTACTGGCATTGGGGTACACTATGATGTTTGGGGGTTCTCGGAAGCCCACTAGGGGGCAGTTGGCCATGCCAATCACCTGGTTTCTTCCCTGGTACATTTCCCTGACAGAGAATCTCCAGAGCATAGTGTTGGGAAGGTTATGGTGAGCGTTGCCAGAGGACAATATAGAAGCCATCAAGAACAATAAAGTCTTAGCTTGAGAGGGTTGTCCACATCCTTGTGGACCTTCCATGTTTTGGGATCCAGTGCAGCGATCAGCTGAGGGTGAAGGTTGTCTGGGTCTGGGTGTGGGCTCACTACCCAGATGTGGGTGTGATGAATCCAGGCAGTAACTCTGTCTACTTTCACTGCAGTCAGGGTAGTCAGGAGCACCATGTACGGTACTTTCTAGCGAGGTTCTAGGTCTCGTGGCGGTGTCTGCAGATGTAGACCCAATTGCTTGTGTGGGGTAGGAGGAGGAGCTGCCTCATAAATAGCTTTCAGATGGGGCACACATCCTTGTGGGTGTGTGCCACAACCTCAAGAGAATCAACCAATTGACGGTTATCAAACTCAGCAATTAATTCAGCTTTTAAATTGGCGAGGATGGGAGGGGGTCTTCCAAACATGATTTCAAATGAAGTTAAACCTAACAGGTAGGGTGAGTTTTGCACCCTATATAGAGCAAAGGGAAGGAGAGCCACCCAGTCCCTGCCAGTCTCCATGGTTAATTTAGTAAGAGTCTCTTTTAGTGTTCTTTTCATCCTCTCTACCCATCCAGAGCTTTGGGGCCTGTATGCACAGTGTAATTTCCATTTCACTCCCAATATTTTGGCTAACTCTTGTGTTACCTGAGAGGCGAAGGCTGGTCCATTGTCTGAGCTCAGAAGAGCCGGCACACCATACCTTGGAAAAATGTCTTCCAGTAGCGACTTGGCGACCATTTGCGCAGTCTCATGCTTGATGGGTACACTTCAGTCCATCCTGAAAAAGTATCTACCAGGACTAAAAGATATTTATAACCATATTTGCCCAGTTTTATCTCTGTAAAGTCCATTTCCCAGTGGGCTCAGGGCTTGGAGCCTCTCAACTGGGTCCCCTGTTCTTTGGGAAGGTTCTCAGCATTTGTCAGCCTACAGCTAAGACATTTGGAGGCGATTGAATCAACATGTGATCAGAGTTTCAGAACCTTGAGATGGGTGTTTCCTAGGAAGTCTTCTTTCAAGTGCCCAGGTGGGTGGTCTGGCGGATGTGATTGAGAAGATCTTTGGCTAGGTTACTTGGCAGGATAATCCTACAGTCCCCTGTATGCCACCAGGCATCAATCTTTTGGGTCTTAGGAAGTTTGCGCATCAGCTTCAGATCTTCCTGAGAATAATCAGGTTGGTCTGGTAGCGTGGGTGGACCTGGGTCTGGCAGATGGATAGCCAGGACTAAGGTTGCTTTCAGGGCTGTTTCCTTGGCAACCTGGTCTGCCTTCTGGTTTCCTCGGGATATAGGCATATCTGTCTTCTGGTGCCCAGGGCAATGGATGATAGCCAGTTTCCTGGGTAGCCATAGGGCAGCCAGTAAGTCTAGGACTTCTTATTTTTGATAGTCTTTCCCTCAGCTATGAGCAGCCCCCTCTCCTGGTAGATGGCTCCATGGACAGGGTCTCCCTGTAGCCCCAGCTGTCCTGGAACTCACTATGTAGACCAGGCTGGCCTTGAACTCACAGAGATCCGCCTGCCTCTGCCTCCTGAGTGCTAGGATTAAAGGCATGTGCCACCACGCCCGGCATTCTTGTTTATTTTTAATAGTTTTTCCCTCAACTGTGAGCAGCCCCCTCTCCTGGTAGATGGCTCCATGTACATGGGCTGTGGCAAAGGTATACCGGCTATTTGTATACATGCTTAATTTTTTGTCCTTGCCCAATTTAAGAGCCTCAGTCAAGGCTATCAGCTCAGCTCTCTGGGCTGATGTCCGTGCAGGTACGGTTTCTGTTACTACTGCTGCCCCCACATACCTCTGTCTGTTTTGCACAAAACTGCTGCCAACAGTAAACCAAGTGGCTTCTGCATCAGGAAATGGCTGATTGGTCAGGTCCCTTATGAGCCATGCACTTGGCTCAGGATTCCCACACAATTGTGCAAGGACATGTCCAGGTCCGGATCAGACAGCAGGGTGGCTGGATTGAGGGCTGTGCTTGGGAGAAAATGAATCCTCGGGGGGTTAAGGAGTAAGCTTTGATAGTGAGTGATCCAGGCATTGCTCAACCAGTGGTAGGGTGGCTTCTTGAGAACTCCCTTGATGGCGTGAGGGGTTGTGATACATAATTCTTGTCCTAAGGTTAACTTGTCCACATCCTTGACTAGAAGGGCCATGGCTGCTATAATTCACAAACATGGAGGCCACCCAGTGGCAACCAGGTCCAGTTTTTTTGATAGATATGCCACCGGCCTATTCCAGGGCCT